AGGTTCGAGCAGCGCCACCGTCACCCAACTTTGGTGGTAGGCAGCATTGCTTTCTCCCGGTTCTATACCACGCCTAACCTGTCGGGGCCTTATGTGGTTCGCCACTCTAAGTTCCGGGGATTATGATGCCGTTTACCACACTGAGCAGTAGGTCTTCGAGAATGTGGGGTTCGCTCCGTTTGCTGTTCATCACACACTGATGTGTAATAAAACAGAAATGAGTTTCCAAATGGCAAACTTTGTCCACTTTCACCAGTTGCGGTGAGATTGGAAGATGCACAAACTGAGCACTGTAAGAACATTTTACACTCTAAACGGGCAAAATCAAGTCAAAAAACTATATCATTACTTAAGTCACTTAGAAAAGCTTACAATTTGGGGCAGCATTTGTCAAGTGATTAATTTCACCAAGTTATCGTCTCCGGGATGTGCTGGAATAGCACCACCGTCATTCAATTTCACCTATTTCTGTTTNTTCTGTTTATGACAGCCCGTTGATTGACTGTTTCCCCAACCTGAAAATTGCTTTTTATCAATAAGTATATTCGATCAAAGGAAGTACAAAGAAACCGAAGTCCGTATACTCCATCTCAAATACCTTGCCAACTGGGAGAATATGGATGCGGCTATCGGCTTAGGAAGACAGAACCGTTTTCAGAATCAGATCCATTAGAACAGAGTTGTTTAGAAAAGAAGATAGAAAGAGGGCCACCCTAATAAACACCGAATGTCGGAATAAACTCAGACGGAAAAAAGAGGTAAGCTCGTAATCAGCTGCTATCATAAATGGATGATATATTGTAATGAACCTATCTCATACACCATCAAAAAAGACCCAATGCACGGGTAAAGTGACATCAACGGAGTCGAGGAAGGTTGACTCAACAACTAGCAGACATCAAAACACTGAAAAATCAAAAGTGACTGACCTGGATCTGTGTGCTGCCTGCGTCTAGAGAGTTCTCAAGCAGCTCCTTGATCGCATTTGCCGGACGTTGAATAACCTCGCCAGCCGCTATTCGATTGATCACCTCTTTGGACAATTGCTGAATCGGACGAGCTTTGGATTCATCCGAGGATAGGGCAATCAGCTGATCCTGAAGTGTCGGTTCGCCGGATTCGGATGATGCCTCCGACGGGAGAGACATGACAGTCGCAAGTCTGAAACAGAATAAAGTTCGAGTGGAGGCAGGAGGGAACGCATTTTCAACAAAAGAACCTAAGAGAAAACGGATACCGGACAAGTAAACCTGAAAAGTGTGATGGTAGCCCGAAATAATTGCAAGATCTACGCCAAGGCGGATTTCACTGCATCTCAACTGTTACTACGTAGTAGAAAACTACAGTTTATATCGTTGTACAGTACATCAGGTTATACAAGAATACGACAGGGACGAATCATCACACTTACCACTGCCAAGGTAGTGACAGTGAGACTGACAGTTCTTTTTTGCACACACAGGCCAGGTTTCTATTTCCTGATTGCAACAGACTCCACAAACCTAAGCAGCCGGCGGTTGGTGTTAGCATAAATGATCTTAAGTCGTCTTGTCAGGTCCAGAACATGATACATCACCAACGAATGTCGAGGGATAAATGACACAGACCGTTTGTGTGATCGGTGTCCCTGGGTAAGGGTGGGGGTTGGTACTGGTATAATGTTATTGCATGTGTTAGTGATGGGTGATGTGTGTGTGGGGTTCAAATCGGAGATCATGTGGTTCGGGCCGTCGGCGTCCTTCCCAACATTGGATGTGCTCCTGGATACGTGTATGCAACTGCCTATTTGTTCTGTCAATGTAGGATCCGCCACATGTGTAACCGCACGGATAACTTGTTGTACTGTTGAAAGATATAAACTGTAGCTTTCTGCTGTATTGCACCAGTTGAGGTGCCCAGGTATAAATCGGGCAACCTAGCTTTGTTGTGCTCTTTCTTCAACGTTAATTGTGTCTTTTGGTTGAGCCATATAAAAAACAGGACTGAAAAAGATATTTTGTGATCAGTAATTTTCTCACATATCGATAAAAGAATACTAAGAACACAATTTCAGGTGAATAAATGTTTCCAGTCCTACGGCACGGCAGTTATCTATCCGCATGAAGTAACACCATTCGCGCTGACTGGGTCAAAGTAGCCCCGGATTCTCGCCCATTTAGCCATCGTATTGACCCAAGTGAAACATTCTATTTCGCCTGTTCGCCGAGCTTGTCAATTTGTTTGCAAACGTTTCATCACCAGCCGAGGTGACATCATCAGTGCTTGTGAAGCAGCCTTGCGAGCAAATACTCTCAGGAGATATCTTTCTTCTTTCTTCTTGAATATGTCGGTGCTGCAGTGTGTTTGGATTCTTCCGAACAAGGTTCTAACACAGCATCTTTTGTGGCTGTGTGGATGATTACTTTTAAAGTTTAGAATTTGATCCGTAAGCGTTGCTTNCCCCCAAACCAATCTGAATATGTTAGAATGCGTAAGTGTGCCATAGTCGAAGCCAGTGGTATTGAACATTTGACCTCCGAACTAGGGGGCCAGAAACGTTTTATCCAAACTCTTCACCACCTACACCCACACACGCACATAAATTTTCACATAATAACACCGGTCCGTCAGAACTGGGTCACACGACCGAAGTGACATAAGTGAAAATCCTATATGTGGTGTGCAACAGACCCATAGTGGTCGATTCTTTACATTTTATTGTTATTTCACATTTGACTCACAGTTACTTGTGAGTAGTAGTGTGGGATAATTGATATTTATTGATTTGAACACCACTGCTCACAAGTAACCGTGAGTCAAATGCGAAATATCAATCCNATTCAGAACGTAACCTGTATGGAAGTCCTGTCTTGGTGGGAGGCTTTCGATTGAAGCTAACAGATTGTCATCTGTCTCCCTTCGTTGCTGTAGAGCCAAATGAACTGATTATCACTGAGGACGACACCTAAACAAACATGAATTGGCAATTTGGTTCAGCCATGGTATGAGCTGGTAGGCACGGTGGTAACGCACACGCTTTGCATGCGGTGGTTCCAGAGTTCGAATCGCAGACGAGACGAGCTCTAATAAGAGCGAAATTCGAGTTTAGTGCTTCTGAGTGTATGGTTGAACCGATGAACTGAGGGTTGTGCATGAAGGTAAAGTCCGAAGGATAGTTAGTTCAAATCAATAAATTTTATTGTTAGCCTCCTAACTCCTCGGTTTTATCCTCTCATATAATGCGGAACGACATGCATATGAATTATTAAAAACAATTGTTCGCCTGAAATTGTGTTTTAAATGGGCATACTTCGAGTAACTGAACACCTCAACGGAACGACGTCCGAGGGAACACGTCGCCACCGATATTCACATACGAGAAATGGGATATAAAGCGAACGACGAGGAACGGGGGACAGAATCATGAAAGAAAACAAAGAGTGGTTAGACGGACGAAGAGAATGGAAAGTGGATTTCGGTGAAAGCTCTCGCAAAACTAGTGCTTGATTGACCAGTATTAGGCTCTGGCAAAAAAAACGAAAGACAGAACACATCCTCTTGAGGGTATTCGCCTCGTTCATTCTCGTGATGTTCGCTCGATAATGTAAGATAAACAGTGATGAATGCGGACAATGGGATTAGTCGGTCTTGTGCCACATCTATTGCATGTATCCGATGCCGGTTATCGGTTTGCAATGTCTCATTCGTGGGGACCGAAAGCACTGGTCCATTGGAACTTTTCGGGAGCCAGCATGCGTAAAACGTTTTGTTCCGGCTGGTAGGAGTGATCAATCCACGCGAAACACCTTAACGCAGTTGTTTTCAGTGTTCTCGTCCACGACTGCGCTCAAGTTTCATCGCACGCATTTCGAAGTCCAAGGGCCTTACTCATGAAAGAAAGCCCAATGAAAGAGCCTCAGTAACAATAATACTATTACGCGTGGGGTCGTTGTAAAAGTGCCACTTTCTCTGGATACTGTGTTTTTAAGTGAAAACCCAGGTACTTTTTCTCGACAGTTTGAGTGCGATTTGCACCTTCAAAGCGTAAAATGTCCGTCTTATCGAGGAAGTAGACAAATTTTGTCATCTGGGCAGCTATGTCTCACCCGGCTGACGCATCACAGCTGAAGTGTCGGCTCGGTTGGCATTAGCCGACTTGAGGCACTCATGGCACATCGGCGTGCTTTAGACCCTATGGTCCTAGGTTCGAGCCCCGCCATCGCCGCACGATTTTGGTGGTAAGCAGCTTTGCTGTCGTCCGGTTCAATGCCACGCCTAACCTAGCGGAGTCTTATGTGGTTCACCACCCCAAGCCCCGGGGCTTAGGCTGGCGGTTAAAATCACTGAACAGCAGGTCTTCGTGACTATGGGATTCTCCCCCTCTGCCGTTTATCACACTTAGGTGCGTAATAAAAAATTTTTTTTAAAAATATCCGGCTATCTATGAAGGGTCGAGTGTATGCTGCAGCAGTTCGGCCGGTTATTGTGTACGGCGCAGAAACTTGACCACCAAGGGAGTAGGATAGAAACTGATTGCCGGTATTCGAACACCCCTGTCAACGTGGCGAAGTACGAGTCCAATGGGGAAACCGGATGATCAATACTGCGGTTGGGCGCAGAGTTTTAGGTAACCACAGTCGTCGACCTTCATAAACTACTGTGTGTGGGACATGTGTTGCCCATGTCACCAAATAGATTACCACAGTGATCGGTGTTTGCCGACGCAGGCAGCGAATGGAAAAAGGCAAGTGCGGTCAAAGACTTGGCATGAGGGTATGAAAACCCTAACCAGAAGACTGGGTCACATAAGTCCCGTTAGGCCAGCTGGATGGGGATCTCGAGATAACGGTAAACGGTGATTAGAGACACTGAGTGTTACGGCTGTGCTGTGACTCATTGTACATATGGCATTTGTTTAATCGTTGGTCGTTCTTCTGGCTGTGTATGAACAGTGTTTAGTCACGTATTGTTTCGGAAATTTTGGTTGCGCCGTAGCACTCGTGTGGCCACCTGTTTTGGACATCTGCCCATATCTATATCTGATATATTGAAAGAACACGTG